TAAGTAAACTTTTATCTTGCAATATTGGCCAATTGTTATTTTAAAAATTTTAGTGGGTTACACACTGGTGTCTCTCTTTTTTCTCATGTTCTATTACCATAGAAATGAATAGATAAATATTGGGAATAAAACTCATCCTGACCCATTGTTTCCTCTGCTCCTTCTAGTAATTCCAGTGAGGAAATTAAAACTGTGTGTGGAAGATGGCCAAGAAGTGGAAGATCAGTATTAGGAAGGCTGCTTAAAAAAACTTCTAGTGATATGAAAATACGCAAAGGAAACCCAACAGAAATGTGATGTGGGAGACCATCAAGAAACCTGCAGAACTATTTTAAATGACTGTGAACTTGGGACTTCTCAATGGCTCCCAGCCCATAAATATAATGGTTCTAATGTGCGACACGTCCTCACCACTCTAAAACTAGATGTCACTGTCACCAAAACTAGGTGTGTGGGAGGAGAGGAGAAGGTGCTTTCATTTTCTTCCTTGAGGAAGGACACCAGGTTCTAAAATTTCAGTTTCTCTTTTCCTTCCCAATTACTTTCAGTCCCTTCCCACCAGGTCAGAAAAGTAAATGTTTCTGTCTCCCGACTTCTACCAAAAGTCCACAGCCTTGAAGGGCAGTAAAAGATATAAAAGAGTCAGAGAAGGGCTCATTATGCTAGCAACTAGAAGGATAATTAAAAGTTGAAATAAAATGTTTTTAGAATATGTATTCCACAGGGAACTTAGCAGAGAAGGGAGCTGTGGTTGTGGAGAAGTAGCTATGGAAAAGAATGAGCAAGAAACACACCAAGAGCAAGTAATTGCCCTCTGGGGATGCCTAAATTCTGAAAAGTCACCAGCTAATACTGACAAAGTAAAACCTGCATCCCCAAGAAGAGCATGAACAATTGTATCAAGGACTTTCTAAGAGATGTGCATCTCCACACTCAAAATGCCCCGTGCATGAAGTGAGCACTTAGCCTTGGTGAGTCACCCACAAGGAAGGTCACGAGGAGGTGGTGGGAGGATAAAGCCCAAATCCCTGGGAGCAGCCGGGACTGTTTTGTGATCCTCCACTGTATTTTCCTCACTGGTTGTAGTTGGAGGCCGTTTGAATTCCTCCGATGACCTACGTGATGCAACACAATGTTTTCAAGCCATTTCATGGAGTCCTGGTTCTTGGTCAGTCATCCAGTCAACAGCATAAACTGAAGTGCTCAGTATATATAGACATACATTTTAAAAACTAAGGAATGGAAGTCAAAAGGGAGAAAGTTCTTTTTGTGGCCTTGAGGCATGTCTATTCTGTTGGAGATGAGAAGGAATGGAAAAGGGCTAGGATTGGTATAGGAACCAAAGATAGACATAGACCTTCATCTTTTCTTAATAAAAACAATGGTGAATATTCTCAAGCATCAGAAAGTATAATTCGTATGGAACTCAGGCAAGTTTGGTCCCAGATCTAGTAGAAAACTTGGTGTTAGGGGTCATTCCAATCCAGGAATTACTGGGGTCACACTTTGGAAGGAGGCTTACGTATCAGAAGGCTGCTAGCCTTTCAGCCGTGGCCCAGGTAGTATTGCCATTTCTACCGGTGTAGTCCTCTTCCCCAGTTCCTTAGTCTCTGCTTTTGAGTCAATTAGTCCCATTCATTGACACCTCCCCAGTCAGCTACGTGTGTGATCTGCATCCTTTGAACCAAAACCCACTAACCCATCCTCATTGCCTACAGTCCCACTCCCACCAGCTGTGCATGCTTAGAGCAAAGACCAAAGGACCTATTTTTCCCTTTTATAGTTCTTGAAACCACAGATTATGTATATTCGTTTATCACAAATCTTTAGAGCTGGAAGAAACCTTAATGGACCAAATCTAACTTGCAATGGACCCAATAGATACATAGATGGTTTACTGACACAGCTTGAAGCCCAGACCTCCTTCCAAGAATCTTAGCATAACGTAAACCACATCTACTTTTTCAAGAGGCAAGGGCACTATTTTTGTTTTTGTTTTTGTTTTGTTGTTTTGTTGTTTGTTTCTACTTTATTATTTGTACAGATCTGCCTAGCTGATCACATAGCCAAACTCTACGTATCCTCTTACCAGATGTCTTCATCAGGCTTCCTCTGAAACCTCCTCTGATAAGGTTATGATGACTCACTCTTTCTATTCTCCCTGCAGGCTGAGTTCGTAAGCGGGAGACCAACGATTGATTTGTTATTCCAGCACCTTCCACCTGACCAGGCACTGAGTAGCACTCAGGACATGTTTACCAAGGGGAGAAAAGTGGAATAAAATTCTCTGTTCCAAAAAGCTAAGAACAAGGCCATCTATCAATAAAAATAGTTTTTCATCATCTAAAAACATCACCAAAATTTATTGGAATAAAATAGCGCTAAGCTCACACTGTGTGCGCAGCATGTACTGCCTACCTGTTGAGTACAGGTGAACCCTCCACTTTGATTCTTCACTATATTTAACAGGGTCTCTGTAATTAGGTGGTTTAAGCAATATAATTTATTTCAAGGGGCCTTATGACCCACATTCTGTTAACTTTCTGACCTTTATAGCACATATTCATCTTGTTTCTTGTCTCCGTAGCTCTGGGTAGACTTTAACCTCTGTAATTTGGACTTGTTGAGCATAGTAACAGCCACTTAACTCTACTTAGTACTTTAAAAGCATATTCATATTCATTTGTTCATCTGATCTTACTTAAAATATTGTGCAATAGACATTATTATTATTCATGCATTTCAAATGAAGAAACTGAGGCTCAGAGAGGTCAAGTAAGTTGCACTGAGCAGACTAATGGAAGAGGCAAGCTCAAACTCAGACCCCTTAACTTCTCATTCAAAGCTTTACCCACGCACCACATGTCTTTCTCTACAAGGAAAGATGGCTGTTCTGAGCTTCCCATCTAAGGATCCTCAGATGCCTCCCTTCCTAGACCACAGCTTTTCAGAACTCCTTCCTACCCCTTACTCATAGGCTTGGGGAGAGCTAGATGTGCAGGGCAGCCCTGACCCTTGTTCCAGCTTAGTTTCCAGGTAGATCTGAGACCTGGGCAAATTACCTCACTCCTGTTCCTTTGTTTCCTTGTTTATAAAATGAAAGGAATGAGACCCTTGGCCTCTATGTTTCTTGTTATTTTAAATAGCTGTGATTACCTCCTGGAGGATATCTCCAGTTTTGAGACCAACTCTGAAAGTGAAGATTCTGTCTGTAGTAACAAGCAGCCTACCTATCATAGTAGATCAGCATTGAGTTACTTCTTCTGCTGATACAAGGGAACCATCTCCCTAGGGCAGTACTCGAAACTCCAGCCCCTGGCTCTGACCCTAGAATCTGATCTCCAACCTTGAGGACCCAAGGCCAGTTTCTATTCTTAGCAGTTTCTACAGTGACACCTTCTGGCCACTGCAGGGCCAGGGCTGAACGCAGACAAGATGCTGGCTCCATCCAGGTCCTCTGCTCTCTCCCTCCACCGATGTTTCCAGCCAGAAGAAACAAATTGAATTATGCATTTCAGCTGTCTTGTATTTTATTCTGTTTCTGCTATGGTTTTCTTAATGCTGATGGATTGCATTTGTCCTCTGGCTGTAGTGGCTTGCACAAACATGCTCTCACTAGATTCTCAGATTTAACCAAAATCCATCTTTTTTAAATTTATTATGTGATCTTCTGGCACTGCTGATTTTCTAAACACAAATTCCTGACATTGAAAGGCAGAACTTCCTAGGCTGGTTGGAAGCATAGTGCCTGATAGGCTCAAAATTTTTTTAAAAAAATTAATTGGTTTACTAATTAGGTATGTTTAAGAGCAGGAAATACACCTGGAGATTACATTTCTATTAAGAAAAAGTGATGGTGCTTAATTCTATTTTTCAAGAGGACCAGCCAGCATGGTATAAGGGAGATGAACTGGCGCAACCTTAGCTGACAAGGGAGAATTCACCCTGTTTAAAAAGATTCAGTGGGTTTCCATCACCTTATATTCAATAGTAATAGACGAGTATCATTGGTTTTCAAATGCTTGCATCTATATTTGTTTAAACATAGAAATAAATGCCTGAAACTCATTCTATAAATTGCATGTTATTAGGGAGTAAGGCATAACTTCTGCGGTAATTTAATTACAAAGCTCCAAATTTAATTAGCCAAATACTAACCTTGTTCTTCTCCTTTATAGCACTTAGCACAATTATACTTAATTAATTATTTGTAATTGTTGTTGTAATCTCTGTGTCCCTGGATAAATTATAATAACCAAGAATGCAAGGACCCATGTTTCTATCTTTCTTACTCACAGGCAGATAACCAATGCCTGGCACAGACCCTGGCACACCAGCAGGGGCTTAGTAGATATTGGTTTCAAGGACTTCAGTTTCATCTGGACTGGTGGGAGAAATGAAAAGGATGTGAGAGGATTCCTGTCTAGACTCGATGGGCCCTAGAATCAGCATGAAGAGCAGCTCAATCCAGAGTTAAGAAATGAGCTGAGAAACCCCAGGACATCCCTATGGTTCTCAAGTGTCTGATTACAATACTTTACCCACTGCTACACCACAGTGAAGAATCCTTCCTTTCTTTCCTATCTTCCACTTTCCTTCCCTCCTTTTCCACTTTTCTATTGTCTTTCCTTAGTTTTTCTTTCCTTCTCTCATCCTATTTTCTCTGTCATTCCTTCTACATTGATAGATAACCTCCTATACAACTGTGTATGGGTTGTAGATTACCTCCAATACTAACTGTGCAGGGTCCTAGGTGTGAAAAGATGTCCAAAACAGTAACTTCATCCTTCAGAATCTCTCAAAATTTGGTTTAGTGTCAGAAACCAAATGTTTCTTTCTCCAAGATCTTTGCATTCCCTCCTAACCACCTAGATTGAAGAAGTGAGATTCAATGTCCCAATCCCATCTCTAATCCTAGCCCAGGACTTAACCCACGACTCCTAAAGTGAGACCTTAACTTCTCCTTTCCTAACCCTACTTCTTCCCCTGGTAGCCTGACCCACCTGCTCCATGGGAAGGGACAACGTGACCTGGGTGAGTGAGTTCATCCTAATGGGCCTCTCCAGTGACAGGGGGACCCAGGCTGGACTCTTTGTCTTATTTGCGGCCGCCTACCTGCTGACCCTGCTGGGCAATGGGCTCATCCTGCTCCTGATCTGGCTGGATGTGCAACTCCACCTGCCCATGTATTTCTTCCTCTGCAACCTCTCACTCGTGGACATCTGCTATGCCTCCAGCGGGGTCCCACAGATGCTGGTGCACTTCCTCCTGGAGAAGAAAACCATCTCCTTTGCCCGGTGTGGGACCCAGCTCTTTTTCTCCCTGGCCCTCGGAGGGACCGAATTTTTGCTGCTGGCCGCAATGGCCTATGACCGCTATGTGGCCGTCTGTGACCCCCTGTGTTACATAGCAGTGATGAGCCCAAGGCTCTGTGTGGCACTGACAGCTGTCTCTTGGCTTGTGGGCCTGGCTAATTCTGCTATGGAGACAGCACTCACCATGCACCTGCCCACGTGTGGGCACAACGTACTAAACCATGTGGCCTGTGAGACACTGGCACTGATCAGGTTGGCCTGTGTGGACATCACCTTCAATCAGGGGGTCATAGTGGCCTCCAGCGTGGTGGTGCTGCTGGTGCCCTGCTGCCTGGTGTCACTGTCCTACACCCACATTGTAGCTGTCGTCCTGCGGATCCGCTCCACCCACGGACGCCGCAAGGCCTTCGGGACCTGTGCCTCCCACCTCACTGTGGTCTCCATGTCCTATGGTATGGCTCTCTTTACCTACATGCAGCCTCGCTCCATGGCCTCAGCTGAGCAGGAAAAGCTGGTGGTGCTCTTCTATGCTGTGGTGACCCCCATGTTGAATCCTCTCATCTACAGTCTGCAGAACAAGGATGTGAAGGCAGCTTTGAGTCGAGTTCTGATAAGGAGCTGTGCATTAAAACAGTAGAGAGTGGTTTGGGTAATGAGAGGCCCTCACTCTGAAGACAGTGGGCATTGGACCTTGCTCTCCAGCATAACATGTGTATGCATGTGTGTGTACGTATGTGCATCTGTGCAGGGGTGTGTGTGTGTGTGTGTGTGTAAGGGAACAGGTGGGAGGGCCACAATCAGTACTACTCTCTTTTGAGGTAATAGAGAAATGGATTTCATCCAGACTTCATCTTTGGCCTGTGCCGCCTTCTCAATGTGAATTACAATAACTTAAAAATACATATACCCTACAGAAAGTTAAATAAAATATATTCATTTTCATAAATGAAAGAAAGGGGGAGGGAGGAGAAAAGATATACTAGTGTATATGAATTAGGAAGAAAGATTAAATTAGAAATGAGGGCAGTACACAAAATGTATTGGAAGAAAGTCTATTTCTTGCTAAAAAAAAATTTAAATGTATGTTTCTGCAGTCAGTGAGAAAAGGAGGGAAAAAAGGTTTAAGTTACAAAATTCACTGTGCCCATGGGATCAAACAAGCCTTAGGTCAGAGGTGCAAAGGCCACGCCAGTAACTCACACATGGTACAGGCCAGCTCACTGGGTTGGGGAATTCACCCATGGGTTTGGGGCCAAAGTCACAGTAATGATCTCTCAGCTCTGATGAGTATGACTGGGCTATGTGCCAGTCACATGAGCATCCCTCTGCTTGTTTCCCTTTCAAATTTGCAGTGGTAGCAAATTGCTGGCCAGAAAGTCAGACGTATGGGACCTCAAACAAACATCTTGTGCACAATCAGGGCTAAGGATATCCTCTTGTGAAATGACGGCTATGCTCAGAGCTCATCCTGACTAGCAGGCCATGCTACGCCTGATTAGAGTAAGCCATGGGATTCAGCAAGGAAAGAATCCTGCTTCCTCATTGGGGATAGTTTCGACCTGCTCTTCTCATACACACGTTTTTGAGCTCTAAAATACTAGATCAGAAGCAAAGCAGTGATAATTTTATTATGAAAAAATGTTTAAAATAATTTTTTTTTTTTGAGACGGAGTCTCACTCTGTCACCAGGCTGGAGTGCAGTGGCACGATCTCAGCTCACTGCAACCTCTGCCTCCTGGCTTCAAACAATTCTCCTGCTTCAGCCTCCCAAGTAGCTGGGACTAAAGGGGCTCACCATCACACCAGGCTAATTTTCTGTATTTTTAGTAGAGATGGGGTTTCACCACGTTAGCCAGTATGGTCTCCATCTCCTGATATTGTGATCTGCCCACCTGGGCCTCCCAAAGTGCTGGGATTACAGGCATAAGCCACCATGCCTGGCCCAACAAATTTTTAAAGTCAGACTAAAACATCTTCTTAACTAAATATTACGAATCTCTGGTTTGTCTTGACCACAAACCAAAACAAACAAACCAAAACAAGCAAACAAAAACAACAACAAACAAACATGAATTGAGAACAGTTCAAACTTTTACTCAATCTGTTGCAACAAAGCTAAAGGGTTGAAAAACTGGAAATGAAGAGCATCCTTTAAAATTGTTAGTTAAAGTTTTTAACTGCAGTAAAGCTCACATATCATATGAGTCACAATTTTCGCCATTTTAATGCCATGGCATTATGCAACCTCATCTCTGTCTGCCCCAAACACTTTCAATACCCCAAAAGGATACACCACACTCATTAGTCAGTCACTCCTTCTCCCGACTAATCTGTTTTCTGTCTCTATGGATTTGCCAATTTTGGACATTTCATATAAAGGGAATCATGCAATATGTGGCATTTTGTGTCTAGCTTCTCACTTAGAATAATGTTTTTGAGGTCTTTCCATATTGCAGTAAGCAGTAGTGCTTCCCTTCTTTTTATGGTTGAATAATATTCCATTGTATGGATAGACCACATTTGTTTATTCAGTCAGATAGTGGACATTTGGATTGTTTCTCCTTTTTTGCTACTATGAACATTCACATACACATTTTTGTTTGAACACTTGTTTTCAATTCTTTTGAATATTTACCCAGGAGTGGAAGTGCTGGGTCACATGATAATTCCATGTTTAACTTTTTAAAGAAGCTGCCAAACTGTTCTCCACCACAGCTGAACTATTTTACGTTCCAGCAAAGAACCAGCAATGGACAAGGATTCCAGCTTCTTCACAGCCTTACCAATACTTATTCCAGTTCTGTTGATTGTAGCTGGTCTTTCTCATGCAATTCTCATGATGGTTAATAAGTCTCACAAGATCTGATGGCTTTATCAGGAGTTTCTGCTTTTGCTTCTTCCTCGTTTTCTCTTGCTGCTGCCATGTAAGAAGTGCCTTTCACCTCCCACCATGATTCTGAGACCTCCCCAGCCATGTGGAACTGTAAGTCCAATTGAACTTCTTTTTCTTCCCAGTCTCAGGTATGTCTTTATCAGCAGTGTGAAGATGGAGTAATATATCCCAGAAAGTCAATTTTACTGTATGTTAATTAAAAGGCATTACCAATCAGTAAGAAAATGGTGAACATGCAAACAGAAAAATGGAGAAATAAAATAAATATAAAGGTAGAACTTGTTTTATAACATTTAGCACACGAAAAAATCTTTAATCTCAACAACAAATAAATACAAACTAAAATAATAAACTATATTAAATTATTTAATTCACAAAAAAATATGGACAGCAGATACTTTAATTATACTTATCAAAAGCCTTAGACTACCTTGGATGCTGTAGTGATGCCATAGTGAGACCCCGTCTCTAAAAATAAAAATTCAATAAATTAGCCAGGGTGGTAGTACACTTGCAGTCCCAGCTACTCAGGAGGCTGAGTAGGAGGGCTGACTGACTCATGAGTTCAAACTACAGTCAGCTGCAATCGTGCCACTGAGCTCGAGCCTGGGCTACATAGCTAGACCCTGACTCAAAGAAAATCTTTTTAAAAATTCATGCTCTGACTTTTAGTTTAAATTGCATCTGATCCCCTAGAGAAAATATCTTAACTCTAAGACAAGCTATGTGATAATACCAAGAAAGATAAACACTTGTAGAAATGTTTAAAATATAATCATCTGGTGATTACTATATCTTGAGAGGACTTTTTCCTAATATCTAAATAATTCACAGAAATCCAAGGATACTACTACTAACCAAAGAACATAACACTTGTCCTTCTTCTTTGGACTTCTGCTTTTTGAGACAGCTGAGACATTGCCCTGCAGACTGCATCCCATAAACAACTGGAGAAAGCAATTCTCAAGAGACTAATAGGGCAGTAAAGAATAAGCGAAAAGGGATGATATTATAACATGGTGCATTTAATTATTTTGAGAAAGGCCATACTACCAGAAAGTAGAGGAGGCGAGAGTTGGTCTTGGGTATTTTTAATTCCAGGGCCCAGTCTCTTAGCCACTACTTTCCATAACCTATATCAAAATTCAGAAAGAGGCTGGAGGCGGTGTCTCATGCCTGTAATTCCAGCCCTTAGGGAGGCTGAGGTGGGAAGATCACCTGAGATTAGAAGTTCGAGACCAGCCTGGCCAACATGGTAAAACCCAGTCTCTAGTAAAAATACAAAAATTAGCCAGGCCGACTCCAGAAAGAAAGAAAGAAAAGAAAGAGAGAGAGAGAAAAAGAAAGAGAGAGGGTGGGAGGGGAGGGGGAGGGGGGGAGTGAAGGGCTCACCAGAGGTTTTAGAAAAATATAATCATTCAAAGTGACTCACATTTGAACACATCCTGAACAGTGTTATATTTTAAGTATATATGAAAAAATCCAACAGCAAACATGTAAGAATAGTAGATTCCCCAGGGAAAAACCAACAATCAGGCTGGCATGGGACTTTTCCTCTACATTAAGGTGCAATAAGGAATGACAGGAAGGTAATGAAATAATTTTCTACTAGGTTTTGAGGGCAAGAAAGTATAATCCAAAAATATTACATCCAGCCAAATGATCCTTAAAGTATGACATAAACAAGCAGACATTTTCTTATATACATGGCTCATCAACCATGTCGAGTCAATTTTTTACCTTAAAGGATAAGAAAATAAAAACAAATTTAAAATATAAAACTGAATGGAATATGTAGGATTATGTTGGGTTAGAGAGTTCAACATATGTCTTGAATATAAAGGAATTTAAACTATATTGATAAAAAGGAGGTTGTCATAACTAGAATATACAAACAGAAAGCTACAGTTGAATTAGCAATTGATTAATTATTAGAACTCAGGAGATGTTACAAATTCTGATTTGGTATTTGTAGTAGAAGGTGCCTAGCTGCACAGATCAGCTCCTCTACCACTATCTGCCACCAGAATCAAGTCCTCAGCCTTTATCCTCTGAAAAAAGTGTTTTATTTTTTTCTCTGTCTCTCTAACACATAAGATAAAATTTCTTGGAAGCTCTAGAACCTGTAGTGTTGGTGGTGTTTTCACCGAGTAAATATCACCCCTCTGGCATTGTAGAAACTAATCGTTTTCTAATCAATTCCCTCCCTGCTCATCCTAAAGTGAACTCTGCCACTTGACATAATTTATCCTCAATTTCAATGCTTACAACGCTGATAAGATTGCCCATCCAAGGCAAAAACTCATCCCAACATAGTCCCATCTACACAATTGCAGAGTAAATCCACAGTTACTACACAGTCCTTCCTTCTTCTATGTAAACAGGACATTTCATTGCTGAAAACTTTTTTTAAAAAATCAGTAAGATGGTTGAAAGATAAAGTGAAAGAACTCTCTAAGAATATAGAATAATAGATTTTAAAAATTATACAGGCCTTCTACTTCCACATGAAGAAGTAACATGACACAATTACCCAGCAACTAGCAAGCAACTAGAAAACTGGAAAACAATTTAAAAACATTGTTTTCAGATATTAAAAAACAGATAGCACAAAACTGTGATCCCTGTGAGGAGGAAAAATAATGAGGTGATTCTTAAATCACCCAGACTTTCTGCCAAGAGGCAATATCCACATTGTGGCACAAAGAGAGGGAATTTAAACAGACCTGAAAATCTTGCTGAGTGAAGGATGCAGGGATTAGCAGGAAGAATAAGCTACACAGGAAACCCGCTCCAGAAATCAGTCTTTGAGTCCTTAGCTAAACACCAATCCGTATGTGAGGAGT